ATGACCTGAGCAGAAGTTGGACGCTTAACTGACTGAGCCACCCACGTGCCCCTCATGGGCACTTTTAACAGCCTTAAAGAATAAACATAGGGTAGCCCAGGCTAGTATGTTGGAACATGCGTTTTTGCTTATAGGTTAATTTTTTTTTTTTTTAATTTCCACTGTGTTAACATACATAGAAAACTTGTTAAAAATAAACCTATGTTTTTTTGTACTTGTGTGACATTGTGAACCAATCAGATAAGGTGTCCGTACGAAAGGCACCTGTGGAGTAAAACACATCTACAAATTTAGGGGTTCAGAAGAAAGGCTGGAGATGGAAACTAAGACAGAGTAGGAAATAATTTCTCCCGAGGGCTTGTTTCTGATGCTCTGTGCTCTCCTTACTGCATTTTCTCACACGCCCTTCCTTAGACCATTTTTCTTTCCTAACTTCTTTTTTCTCCTTTGTTTCTTCTTTTCTTTGCTGTCTTCCACTTCCATTCTTCTTCGTTCATGTCTTTGACTCAGGCCTGCCTGGGTTTTATTATTGGCACGTGTGGACATTGCTTCGTTCTGACCTATTCCACAAGAGTTTTCTGACCCATGTCGTAAGTTAAGGTTAATTAGCATTTTATGAAGCATCACCCTCAATTTTGGTTATTACAGAATATATCCTACTTCAGAATGTATAAACGTAAGTATACATCTTAACATGTTATTTGTACAATGAACGTTCATAACCATCATTTGGGTCAAGAAATAAAAAATTGCTGTTAGTCCAGAAGCTTCTCCATACCCCTGCATTACCCTTTCCCACTTGTATCGTGTTTTAATTGGCCTCCTTTATAGCTGCAATTGTTTTTTTCCTAACCTTTTGTATGCTGCCTCCCCTCCCCCAACAATTGCCTATTTTATTATAAGGTGGTAGCACTAGTCATGACCAGGAGAATCATAGAGGCTGAACTGTACCTCCTCCTATTAGAAAGGTTTGAGTCAAGTACAAAGAAAACCTCTTAACACGCAGAGAAGTATCTTGAAGTCTGAGAAATAGCTGCCTTTGAATGAGAATGGTAATTTACACCAATTCTTTTCTGTCAGGTCTTTAACTCCAGTCTTGTACCTGTACACATCAGATGACACATACACACCCACTCATTTAAAAAGCCATTTAACACATAGATGCCAACCTCCTCTTCAGGAAGAAAGTATTTTGTCAGGTATAAAAGTATCTGATGCTGCACCTGTTGTCCCCACCCCTCAACGATGAACATTACCTTTTAGAACCCTTAATTTTATAATAAACATGGACATAACCAAACACAGTTGTTTTTTTGGGGAAATAGATAATGCATGAATCACAATAAAATTCCTTTAAAGACATAGGAAGTATTGTGCTCTGTTTTGAGTTATGGTATTTTAATATAAAAGATGGACTTTTCCTTTGGAATCATCTATGATTCTAAATAGCTACCTTTCTAGGATAAGTAGAGGCAGAGAATAGTTGATAAGCTTTATAAAGAATATATTAGCTGGTACTTGGGATAAGTCTTAAATAATGTAGAGAGATTTAAAATGATGACCAACATATGTTACCGCTGTATTACAATTTTCAAAATTCAAAGTAGACATTTATATTATGATTTTAATTTATTTTTTAGTAGGTAGTACATTTACATGATCACTGAATACATTTTTATATGCCTTAATGTGAAGAGTGTTCCTTATGCTTGTATTTTATTTGCTCCACCGGGAATCAAGGCCTTTTATAAAAGATAAATTGTGAATCTGGGGCAAAAATAGACTGATAGACAAATGGAAAGTGATATATGATAGAAAACCCAGAAACAGCCCCACATGAATGTGGACGTTTATTTGATTTAGGACAAAGTGGCCCTGCAGAGCTGTGGTAAGGATGGTCTTTTCTACAAATGATGCCAGGGCTATTGGATCTGTATGGAAAAAATGAAATCTGACCTCACACTGTATAAAAAATAAGGTACATATGGATTGTAAATCTAAATGTAGAAGACAGAGTTTTCAATGAAGACTTATTCTTACAGAGTAGACTAGAGACAGGATTAACTTTTCCTTTCTTAAAAATAAAACTATCCTATCTGCCCCACCTCTCTTTCCCCTAGGAAATTCCAGAAACAATGAAATCGGTTATTTAAACTGAGAATTTTATTAAGCCATAAGATATTATGTGGATAATTGAGAATACATTCATCTGATCTTCCTGTTCCCTTTTATATTAGATGATTTACATTCAATTGTATAAAAAACCCAGGTGCCAGTTTCTACTCTTTTTTTTTTAAACAACACATTCACGTAAAACACATTTTCTTTAAAACCATATTGCATAAAGCAGAAGTTTTACTGTGCTACCAAGCAAAAATTCATGCAAGTTTCAAAAAGTTAAGATATCTTATGTCTGTATTCTTTCAGGGCAATTAAAGCATTTCAGGAGGTGCTTTATGTTGATCCCAGCTTTTGTCGAGCCAAGGAAATTCATTTACGACTTGGGCTTATGTTCAAAGTGAATACAGACTATGAGTCTAGTTTAAAGGTAGGTTATTGGATTTTTTCCAAGATAAAATGTTTCATTTTATGCATTTGGGGGGGGGGGTTGGGGTGGGTTGTTGTTGTTAAATATTAGAGGATTGAGAAATGTTGGAATGTATATTGGCATTGATACTTCAAAGGAAAATTTGAAAATTTAGGTGAAGGAATTGTTTTACTAGCTATGAACTGGAAGATACTCAAGGCTGGGTTTCAGGGTACAAAGTAGTTATGATCCTAAGACATAGGTAACTGATTATACCATTAGACTTTTTTTTTTTTTTAAGTTTTAATTGAAGTCCGTCATCAGGAAAGGGTGAAGGTTTCAATCTCAATTTGGGCATCTAAATCAGTCCAGTGTAAGTGATTGGTCACCATAGAGGTCAGAAGGAGCTACTAAATGTTGGTGTGTCTGTGACCCCATTCTGACTATTTGCATGGGTCTCACTAGAAATCTGTTGACCTCTACCAACAGGACACATCTCATAATCTAAATTATTTAAAAAAAACTATTCTCTGCAAGTCATTTGAATTGCTGATTTGTGAAAATAAACATCTTTAGGAAAAGATAATACGTTGTTGGTTAAATATTTTACGTACTATTGAAATTTGATATTTCTCAAATTTGTTACTGAGTTTCTTGTGCTGTCTATGCTATCACTTTAGGTCTTACCGGGCTTTTCATAAAAATAGTGCTTTCCTGTGCAATGAAAGCCTTGCTCTTTGAAGGATTAGAAGTTCTAGGAATAAAGTTTAAGTTCTTGTGAATTTATGACTATAATGGCTGCCGTGTTCTAAATATCTCCATTGCAGATTATTTTGGTCCTCAGGGGAGGTGAGAGGGAGATAAAGAATGATAAAGAGGCTTTACAGTGGGTTGTAATTTGAATTCACTAATAAGGTACTACTTGAAGGTATTTTAAAAACTGTGTTTCCTTGTTCCAGAGTTGTAAAGTAGACAGTTAGGCAAATACTGTTTCTGTCTTTCATGAGTTTTATGAAGAACAATGCTGATGATACGAAAGAATGATACACAATCAGAAACACTTAAACAAGTTGATTGTGAAGTATTTTGATTATTACACAATTGTCAAAGGTAAGTGCAGTGAGATGAATTGATGTCAGGATAAAATTAGGTAGTGTGGAGAATAAAGGATGCCTACAAATTACCCGTTTTCCTCAAACGTGGAGCAGCACTTCTCAAAGAGTTGACCCTTGAACAACGTGGCGGTTATGGGCGCCAACCCTCGTCGCCCCGCCCCAGTTGAAAACCTGCATTTAACAATTCCTCAACAATGTAACTACTGATGGCCTACTGTTGATTGGAAGCTTCACCGTTAAGCTAAAAGATTAAATCTAAAGAGTTGCTTAACATGTATTTTATATGTTGTATGTATCGTATACTATATTCTTACAATAAAGAAAACTAGACAAGAGAAAATGTTATTAAGGAAATCATAAGGAAGAAAAAATACATTTATACTACTGTAATGTGTTGAAAAAGATCCGTATATAAGTGGACCCATGCAATTCAAACCTGTGTTGTTCAAGAGTCAATTGTGTACTATGGGTTATGAGTGGATTTGAAATGGAAAATAAGTTCAGATAGGCTACCTTGCATATTTTAACTACCTCTTGGACATCCACAGTATATAGGAGCTAACAAAGACTCTTACAATGTCTTAAAATACAAAATAATCTTATTTGGTCATTTTATAATCTTGTCACAATATGACTATTATGTGTGGCAGAAGTGTTTTTGATAGCAGTTTGGTAAATGTGGCTATAAAGTTTACCATATTATAGAATTTGGCTATCTCTGAACATCAATACCGTGGCATTTTACGTAATTCTGTGGTTGCAGAACTCTGTTTTCCACGAAGGTGGCAATATTTAAAATCCTCTTTAATCAAGGGAAACAACAAGTGTTACTGCTAAGTCAGGTTCAACAGAGACCTTCCTGTGTACAACTTCTGTTTGTTCAGGCATAGTTCAAGGCTAAACAAACCTTCAGGTCATAGCAATATTAGCAAAATTGTTTTACCTCAGTAAGTACAGTTTTCTTGTTAAAATACTTGATATCATTCTGATGTTTATTTCATTTGTGTGAGCATAGAAAAAATAAGTTTTAGGAACCCTTGCTATTTCTCTTCTCCATAATGAGAAGGTTGCCTTTGATTTTGATCTCATTTTGACATTAGCTTTTTTTAAGGCTTCTCTCTCCAGTACTCCCTGTCTGTTTTCAGGAGAATTTTAGGAATCATCATTTTTGGTCGAGGAGGAGGTGTTTGAGTATAGTATTCTAAGTGCTTAACATTTAGTGCAAATGAAGGTAGAAATCCGAAGGTCTCTCTCCCCTGAGGTGGCTAGCTAGTATTTTAGTTTCATATGGGTAGATGTGGAATGTCTGATGACTTAACCACTACATGAAGCTGTTTCCTAGAAGCACACTTTATTGGTATAGATGCTTTGGGCTGCAAGCTTAGGAACTCCCAAATGAAGCTGGTTAAAATAACATTAAAAAAAAAAAAAAGTAGCTTGTATAATGTGAAGTACAACTTTCAGGAATGGTTAATTCATCTGATGCAAGTTTTCATCAAGGATTCATTTTTTTTCTCTGTTCTGTGTTGGCTTGTTCTTAAGGATGCTTGCCAGGTATAATCAAAGTGAAATGTAGAAAACCCTAAAACCTCTACCACAAAACTATTCGAAGTAATAAATGCATTCAGTAAAGTTGCAGGATATAATCAAAGTGGGATGATTCATTTTTCACGTCTCCTATAGAAAGGTATTGTAGAACAGCGGAATAGGTGCTTAGTACAGTGCTGGCATATGATAAGTGCTTAGCAGATATATGATCATCATGTCATAAGTAAGAAAGATCATGACTTCGTGTTGATCCCTTCAAAAATACTTCACTTTGCAAAATGTCACAGGCGAGAAATGGGCCCCATGGCCATTCTCAATTGATTTTCTTTTTTTTTTTTTTTT